CCCTCAGCCCCTCAACACCAAGAGTCCCGCACCCTCAGCCCTGACGCCCTCAGCCCCCAACACCAAGAGTCCCGCACCCTCAGCCCTGCAGCCGCTCGGCCCTCAGGTGTGTGGCTCCCACCCCTGCTCAGCTCCCTCTGGCCGTTGATCTCCCCTGCTCACTTCCTAGGCAGCCCCTCACCCCACCAGCCCTGATCTCCTTGGGACTGGGGGGAGGCTTCAGCAGCCACAGCCACACCCACGTTTCCAGGTCCTCACTGGCTCCAAGGACCCCCGGAAGAGGGCCGGGCAGGATCGCTCCCTTGCCGAGGTGGGCCCCTGTGTGGCGGGGCTAGCCTGGCCCCGTCCTGGGCACTCATGTGTGCTGCTGGGCACAGTTGCATGCACTGAGACAGGGCCGGGGCCAGCCAGGAGGCTGTCCGCTCCAGGGCACCAGAAGAGATGGGCACTGATGGGACCACACACACTCCCGTCACAGCTGTGACGATCACAGGGCCCAGGGGGCCAGAGGGTCTGGAGCTCAGAAAGCCAAGTGGGAGGGGCCTTCAGGAGGAGGCTGGGGAGTTTGAGGCCACAACATGCAGGGCCACATGGACCACATTTGAGATTTTGGTCTTTGTTCAGAGAGCAGCCGTGGCTTGCTCTGGTGTCCCCAGAAACAGATACGGAGGCCAGAATTCAAGTGCCAATCATTTATTTGGGACACGACCCCAGGAAGCCTCCGGTGGAAGGTTCCCTGTGCGCCCACCCAGCCAGTGCCCGCCCCTCAACCGCCTCACCCCTGTGACCACACCACCCCTCAACCGCCTCACCCCTGTGACCACACACCAGCGTGGCATATTTCAGTTTCTCTCTTTTGTTTTGAGATGGAGTTTCACTCTTGTCAGCCAGATTAGAGTGCAGTGTTGCGATCTCGGCTCACTGCAACTGCCGCCTCCAGGGTTCAGACAATTCTCCTGCCTCCACCTCCAGAGTAGCTGGGATCACCAGTGCGTGCCACCACGCCCAGCTAATTTTTGTATTTTTACAAAATTAAAAGTAGAGATGGGGTTTCACCATGTTGGTCAGGCTGCTCTCAAACTCCTGACCTCAAGTGATCCTCCTGCCTCAGCCTCCCGAAGTGCTGGGATTACAAGCGTGAGCCACGGCGCCTGGCCAGGGTTGAATTTCATGTGGGTGGAACACACAGCAGGCCCTCCGCTGTGCCGACTTCTCTCATCTGCTGTTTCCGACACGCACACGTGCTGGCTGTCGTGGGCACCGGTGTGTCTTTGCTGCTGAGTGGCGCCCTGTTACATGGATCCACCACCATGTGTTGGTTCATCTACCATAGATGAGCATCTGCCTTATTTCTCATTTGGGGCTGTTGTGAACAAGGTGGTGGTGAAGCTCTTAGTCATGCTTTCGGGTGGCCACATATGTTCCTTTTTTTTGGGTGAATAACTAGGAGTGGACTCGCAGGGCCATACGCTAGCCTTTACCTTATGAGAGACTGTCCACGGACTCCTCTGGAGCGGCTGTTTCGTGCTTCACGCCGCAGCCACGCACAAGCGTCCCATGTGCTCGCGTCCTCAGCCGCGCTCCGCGTTGTCTTTCTTTGCTGGGGTGTAAAGTCGGGTCTGACTCGGTTTTAGTTTGCGTTTCCCCGATGCCTATTGATGTTCAGCATCTTCTCCTGTGCTGTCAGCTGTTTGTAGATGTTCTGAAAAGTCAGTTCAAATATTTTGTTCATATTTGGATTTTTATCTTTTTATTGTTGATGTGTGGTCATTTTTAAATATATTCTAGATACTATCAGATATGTGTTGTGGCATGAATATTTTCTCCCACCCTGCGGCTTACCTATTCTTTTTTTTTCTTTTTTTTTTTGAGACGGAGTGCACAATGGCGCTATCTCGGCTCACTGCAACCTCCACCTTCCTGGTTCAAGAGATTCTCCTGCCTCAGCCTCCTGAGTGACTAGGATTCCAGGCACGCACCGCCACACCCAGCTAATTTTTTTGTTTTTTGGTAGAGACGGGGGTTTTGCCATGTTGGCCAGGCTGCTCTCGAACTCCTGACCTCAAGTGATCTGCTCACCTCAGCCTCCCAAAGTGCTGGGATTGCAGGCATAAGCAACCACACCCGGCCTACCTATTAAACAGCAGGTGTTTTCAATTTTGGTGAAGTCCTATTTACCAATGGGCTTTCTTTGCTGGCCTGGGCTGTTTGTATCTTGTCTAAGAAACCTTCGCCTGCTGTGAGACCGTGACACTCTCTCCCTGTGTTTTCTTCTCGAAACTTGACGCTGTCAGCTTCTGTCTTTACATCTATGATGCACCTCCAGTTCATTTTGCGTATAGGGTAGAAAAGAAGCCAACGTTCATTCTGTCCACACCGGTGCCCCAGTTCTCGTAACAAGTGTGGACAGCCTTCCTTTCCCCGCGAACTGATCCGACCGTTGTGAAACGTCACTGGACTGCATGTGCGTGGGTCTCTTTACGGCCGCTCCGTTCTGTCTCATGGCACCCTGGTGTCAATCCCGTGCTGTTTCAAATATTGTAGATTTACAGTAAGTCGTGAACTCAAGAACAAGGCCTCAAAGGTTTTTCTCCCTTTTCAAGGTTTTTCGTACCCTACATCCTTTGAATTTCTGTGTACGTTTTAGGTATCTATTTCTTCAGAATAGCTTGCTGAGATTTTGGCAGGAACTGCACCAAATCCATCTAACAAGTTGCGGAAAATGGAAATAAAGTATAAATTCCATTTCATAAACGCAAATTTCAGTCTTGTTAAATTACTCTCAGGTATGTTTCTAGCTTTCAGCGTACAGCAAAGTGGGAGCAGGTTCTTCAAGGAAAACCACTGACCCAGCCCAGGAGGCGGGACCAGGCAGCGTCCCCGGCCCCCAGCGGCCCTGTCCCTCCAAGTGGGACCTCCTGGAAACAGCCCGCTTGGGTGCAGATCTTTTGTTGGATTTATTCCTAGGTGTTTGATATTTTTGATGCCATTTTACATGGCATTTGAAAATTTTTATTTCCAATTGTTTATTTTATTTTGTTTACTTATTTATAGAGACAGAGTCTTGCTCTGTCACCAGGCCGGAGTGCAGTGGCGCCATCCTGACTCACTGTGACCTCCGCCTCCCAGGTTCAAGCAATTCTCCTCCCTCAGCCTCCCAAGCAGCTAGGACTGCAGGCACAAACCACCACGCCCGGCTAATTTTTGTATTTTTTTTAGAAGAGACAGGGTTTCGCCATATTGGCCAGGATGGTCTCCATCTCCTGACCCCGTGATCCACCTGCCTTGGCCCCCCAGAGTGCTGGGATTACAGACAGGAGCCACCACACCCGGCGCAGTTGTTTATTTTTAATATAAAGTACCATTTTTTTCTGTATTAATCTTGCATCTCTGACCTTGCTAAATTCACAAGGTCTACTAACTTTTTTGTAGATTCCTTTGAGTTTTCTAAGTAGATAATCAAACTCCCTGTGACTAATGAGAGTTTTACTTCTTCTGCCTTTTATTTATTTTTTCTTGCTTCACCGAGCAGACATAGGCCACAAACACGGAGCTGGACCCACGGCGAGCCGAGCCTGCTCACCTTGGAGACGGGCGTCTGTCGGCGTCAGGCTGCTGTCAGCAGTCGGGCTCCGGCAGCTGCCCTGCATGGGAGGCAGGAAGTCCCACCTGTCCTGGTGTGCGAGAGTTTTTATCACAAACAGCTGTCGTCTTTTGTCAACTGCCTTTTCTGCCCACGGTGAGGTGTTCATAAAGTTGTGTTTCTTTATTCTGCGGATGTGCTGTTTCATTGACTGACCTCTTATTTTCTCGTGATATCTTTGTCAGGTTTTGATAGCAGGGTTCCACTGGTCTTGTAAAATGGTTTGGACAGTATTTTTTTTCCTTTATTTACCAATTAAGTTTGTCTAGAATAGGGACTATTTTTTCCTTATATTTTGGTAGAATTATCCAGCAAAGCCTTGTGGAAGAGGCGCCTTCTTTATGGGAAGGATTTTTTTTTTAATGAATTCTAATTTTTTAATAGTTCTTTGGTTTTTGTCTCCCTCTTCGTGCCCGTTTTGGTAATGTGTTACCAGGGCATGCTTGATTCCATCTAAGTTGTTGAATGTGCTGGCATGACGTCATCTATAATGTCCCTTCATTACCCTTTAATGCTTATAGATGGGCTCTCAAGTGATTTCCCTGTGTCATTCCTGTTATTGGTAATTTACATTTTCTCTTTTTTTCCCATTGATCAGTCTTGCTAGGGGGTTACCGATTTTATTAATCTCTCCAAAAAAGCAACATTTACCATCGTTTTCGCAATTGTTTGTTTTCTACTGATTTCCACTGTTCGTGTTAGTGCTCCTTTTGTTTTACCTGCCTTGGTTTTAATTTGCTGCTCTTTTCCTAGCTTCCTATGGTAGAAGCTTAATTGATTTAAAACATTTGTTTTCCCAGTATGAGCATTGAAAGCTAAAATCCCTCTGAGCGCTTTCTTCACTGCATCTCCCAAATTTTGATAGACGATGTTTTTGTTATCACTCAGATCAAAATATTTTATAATTTCCCTTGTGATTTCTTCTTTGAACCACAGACTATTTAGACTTATCTTGTGTAATTATCAGACATTTGGTGGGTATTCTAAATGCCTTTTTGTTTTTTCTTTCTAATTTATCTGCTGTAGTCAGAGTTCATACTGTATATGGGTTTTAGTGTTTTGAAAATGTGCTGAGATTCTGCTTTATAAACTAGCAGCAGCCCTGGTGACTGTCCATGGACACTTGAGGGGAACGTGTCTTCCGCCACTCTCAGGTGTAGCTTCTAAAATATCCCGAGGTCCGCTTGGATGACCGTGTTATTCAGGTCTTCTTTGTATCACTGGGGTTCTTCACCTGCTTTTTCTATGAAGTACCGGGAGTGGGTGTTCCGTTCTCCCCGTGTGATTGTGGTCTCGTCTCCCTCTCCCTTTCACCCCATGCATTTGTCTCCATGACTTTTGAAGGTCCGTTGCTACGATTGTTACACCTTCTTGATGAATTGATTTTATCATCGTGAATGTCGCCCCTCACCTCTGGTAATACCCTTTGTCTTAATGTTTGTGTGTTTCCTTTCCTTGGGCCACTTGTCTCTCCACACAAAATAGACGAACAATTTCTATTTCTTGATGCTCTGCCCATGCGGAGGATTTTTCCCTCACCACTGTCTTCTAGGAACCCTGAGTTGGGAGAGCCCATTTTGGTTTGCACCAAAGACCAAGCCATCGCATCCATAAGCCAGGCTCTAGATTTCCTCCTCAGTCATCTAGTCCCAGGGAACCCTCTCAAGGCCATGCGTGTGAGGCTAGAAGAAAGGCACAGGTGCACGCAGGTGATGACAGGGTGACCCAGGCCACTGATCATGTGCTGATGTGCTTCCACCCACCCTGCCTGCCACGCACGTCCATGTACAATGGATTGCTGCTGCACCACCGCTGCCGCCTCCAAACTTAGGACCCCGTAACATTCAGCTCGTGGGGGTAGCTCAGCCACATCGTTACCTGGTGTCTCGTGACCAGGAGCCCAGTATCACACCCAGTGCTGCTTCTCAACAGCAGCACTTCTTTGCTGCAGACAGCATGCTCTTGTTTCAGGACTTCACCTCCTATTTTGGGCTTTGGTGCCCCTTTTCTACGGCAGATGCCATTCACACCGTGGTGGTATCGTAGCATGAATCTGCTCAAGAACCTGCTTTGCCCTGGCCCCACTCAGAACCAACAGCTGTCCGAGTCCCCTGGCAAATGGACATTCCCAAGGGAGGTGCATGCAGCCTCCAAAATCCAGTGAGGCCTACCCAGCACCATGCTTGTTCTTCACGGTAGGTGGGCAAGGTACAAAAACTTCTCCTTTACCTTGGAAGCAAAGTCTCAGCATGCCCTAGGCCACTGAGCCTCTAAAGTCTTCATCTGTGGGCCAGACCTTGAGACAGTAAGGTTTCCCTCCCACCCTCTGGAATGAATGTGTCTACAAGGCATCCAAAGAGCTTTCCAGTCAACGCTCTCCAGTTCTAATATGCATGATGGCATCAATACAGTGAACCAGCAGAATATCCCACAGAGCATCCAGGGGTGAAGGCCCAGTAGGCCCACGTGTGACACAGAGAAGCGGGCTCACACCGGCCTAGGCCAGACCGGGGACTCGCACTGTTATCTCTTCCAAGTGAACGCAAACTGTGTCTGAGCCTCCCCTCTGATGGGGATTGGAAACAATGCATTTCGCAGGCCCGTGGCCACATACGAGTTCCAGAGGCCCGGCTGTACTGCTGTACTAAGGATACCATGTCTAGCGCAGCTCCTAGACTGCGGGTTACAACCTGGTCAGCTTCAGGTAATCCACTGCCATTCACCGTAATCCGCCTGACTTCTGCTGGGCCGTGCTGATGAGTTAAAGCCTCTGAAGGTGGCACTGCATTCTGTCAGTGTACCAGGAGGTGGTGTGTTTGCTGGGTTGGCTTGGTCATGGAAATACGGATGATTTCAGCACAGCCTTCCCCTTGGCCCTTCCTGCTCTTACAGCTCTTACTCCTGCTGCGTGCAGCCACCCTGCTTCCCAATCAAATGCCAAGGGAATGGCCACACGGTGGGCCTGGCCCTTCAGATCCATAATGAATCAGATGTGAACCAAGACTCTGTCTTCCACCAGCCCCTACTCTAGTGGGGGAGGAGTGTGTCATGTTGTGTCCCCTCCCGTGGTCATTGGCTCAGGCCCTGGATCTCGAGGCCTTCAAGGGGCCTGGGCATCTCCTGTCGTCAGTGGTGCTTCCTCTGCAGATGGCCAGAGATCCCTTTCAAGGAGGCTCCGGGGAGCTGCCGCTGCAAGGATTGCAGGTCCCCTATGAGAGCCTAGGGCAGGCATTGAGGGGTAAATACCCCTGAGAGGCCAGAGCTGAAGAATAGGAAACGTCCAATGGGCAGGACCCACGCAGGTCACGGGGCGGCAGGCAGGCTGTGTGGCTGATGGGAGAACGTGGGGCACAGAGTGGTAAGGACAGACACGGGTGGCGCGGATGCCAGGAGAGGACTCCTTACCTCAGAGACTGGGGTATATTAGTAGGTTCTCGTGGGGCTGTAAACCACCACCTGAGACTGGGTAATGAATAACAAGGTTGAATTGACTCGCAGTCTGCAGGCTGCACAGGAAGCATGGCTGGGAGGCTCAGGACACACAATCATGGTGGAAGGTGAAGGGGAAGGAGGCGCGTCTCACGCGGCAGGAGGAGGAGGGGGACGGAAGAGGAAGGTGCCTGCGCACTCTCAGACAACCAGGTCCCATGAGAGCCCACTATCACGGGGACGGCAAGGGGGCGTCCTCACTATGGTGGGGACGGCGAGGGGGAGTCCTCACTATCGCGGGGACAGCGAGGGGGTGTCCTCACTATCGCGGGGACGGCGAGGGGGCGTCCTCACTATCGCGGGGACGGCGAGGGGGCGTCCTCACTATGGCAGGGACGGAGATGGGGAGTCCTCACTATCGCGGGGACGGCGAGGGGGAGTCCTCACTATCGCGGGGACGGCGAGGGGGAGTCCTCACTATCGCGGGGACGGCGAGGGGGCGTCCTCACTATCGTGGGGACGGCAGGGGGGCGTCCTCACTATCACGGGGACGGCGAGGGGGAGTCCTCACTATGGCGGGGACGGCAGGGGGGAGTCCTCACTATGGCGGGGATGGCAAGGGGGGGTCCTCACTATTGCGGGGACGGCAAGGGGGAGTCCACCCATGATCCCATCACTCCCACGCACCCCTCCCAACACTGGGGAGTACAGTTCGGCATGAGACGGGGCCACTTCCCCAGGGATGGGCAGACGCAGATGGGACTAGTCCTGGGCGGGCGGGCTCATGGCTGTGTGCCCCCTCTGCTGGCCTGAGTTTGCTGTAAGAACAAGGTTGGAGGTGGGGATGCCTGGAGAAGGGGGTCATTGGTAGAGAATGGAGAAGACTCAGAATTATCCATCTGCACGTGGGCCTCTTCTGCTTCTAGGGGAAATGTTTTCCACACAGATATACGAGACGTGGAGAGTACCTTTTCTGCTGCGTATGCCCTGCACGTTCATTTATTTGAGACTAAATATACAGCACTTCATCACCAAGGAATGGCTCATGGTGCAGGCCGGGCCAGGCGCTCAGCCCCAGGTCTCAGCCAGTGTGGCTTTCTTGTCAGCACCATGTGGCTGGGTCAACAGGCACCACGTGGAAAGCGTGGCACCTGCCTCCAGGCCCTCACCCCAGGACGAAGTGCTCCAGGAGGACTGCCCTGCCTCGCCAGGCACTGAAAGACTCTCAGAGGCCACTCCTGGGGACAAAATCCCTCCCTCACCCCCTCCATGAGCAGCCCATTCCTTCTCCCAGATGCCCCAGGACCTCCCGTGGTGTGGTACAGTCTGTGGGGCGGCCGTGAATGGGTGGCCAAGGCTGGGCGGCCCAGCTCAGCTCTCCTTGCTGCCCAGAGTCCTGGTCTTCCGGAAGATGCTCTGCATGGCAGAGATCCGGTCCTCATCCTGGATGTTGAAGACCTGGAACTGCAGCAGGTTGGGGGGAGAAGGGTTAGCGGGACCACTGGAGCCCGTCATAAGCTCTCAGGGCCGAGAGCGCAGCGTGGAACAACTGGCCTCCCTGGGCCCCCTGGCCTTCCTGCCCCGGGTATCTGCCTGGACGGGCACCCCCCAGCCTCTGCTGCTCCGCAACCCCCACATTACACACAGGCGTCCCTGGCCTGGGTCTGCACAGAGGAGGCCCCACGGGTGCTGCTTGAAGGCTGCCTCCGGTGACCACCCCACCCCCGCCCCTGCCCACACAGGTCCACTGAGAGCTCAGAGCACAGCCCTTGGCCCCCCATCTACAGGCTCTGGGGTAACAATTCTTAAGTGTCAGGCAGGGGAGGAGACCCTGGAGCCATCAGCATCTCAACAGGCGGGAGTTTGCTGGAATAGGATGAAAGACCCCCAGCAAAGAGCTGCTGTCCTGGGGCCTCACCGCCGCCAGGACATGGGAAGGGTGGCGGAGAAACTCCGGATGTGCCCTGGAAGGAGGCCGTGTTTGCTCCTGGGATGGGGGTGAGAGCTGGGCCCTGGGCGAGGAGCAGAGTGGACCCTGGGCAGGCTCCTCGGCAGGAGTGGCAGAGCCTGGGGCACAGGGCGGGGCAGCTGCTGGGGCCTCCAGGCACCCATGAGAAGTGGCCCAGGGGACACAGGGCCGCAAGGGGCATGGCTGTGGATTCCTGAGTCCAGGGAGAAGGAAGCGGTCCCGGTGAGGCCCAGGTAAGGTCAGAGCCCTTCATGAGGAATGGAGCTCTGGGGTAGGCAGCTGGGCCTCTGAGGGCTTACTGAGTGTGAGCTGGGGGACAACTCTGGTGGGAAACGGAGGCAGGGTCAGACTGGCTGCCCTGGTTCCAGGGAGCAGCTCCGGGCCCTGTGAAGCCACCAGCAAGGGGACCCCCACAGCCCGTGGGGGTCCCCACATATCACACACGTGTGATCCCCACATATCACACGTCCCCGCAGACGCCATCCATGGAGCCCCTGATCTGGCCTCAGCATTCCTGGGGCCCCTGATCCAGGAGAGAGTGGGTGGGGAGCTGGGCCAGGGCTGTGTCCCCGCCCTCCCGCGCCCCTGGGCTGGCCCGAGGCCCCCACAGCCAGCACCCACCTTGTCCAGCAGGACGTCGAAGTAGGCGGTGGCCCAGTAGGTGGGGTCACTGGCCGGCAGCTGCAGGAGCGCCTTGAGCCCGGAGCTGACGCGCGGCGGGGGGCTGCGGCCCAGGTGGGTGGCGTGGATGCGCAGTGCCGCCTCGGGCTGGCTGGCGAAGCCCTCCACGCGCTGGTAGACGGCGCCGAGGTCCAGGCCGCTGCCCTGCAGCAGGTTGTGATGCGGGTGGAGGAAGTGGGGCAGCCTCCGCGTGGCCAGGCAGCACAGCAGCACCACGAGCACGCGGTACACGGCGCCCTGCAGCTCCGCCCAGTCCTCTGGCGCCGGGAAGAGCGTGGAGGCCCACAGCAGCACCATCTGCGGGACCGCAGGGTCAGCCTCCACCCAGCTGGCCCAGCCTGCGCCCCCTCCCTCACCCCGGCTGCCCCTCCCTGCTCCCACCCACCCCTCTCCATGTCCCAGTTGGAGTCCCAGGCCCCTCCCACCTACTGCCCCAGCCTGCTGGCTCCCAAAAGCAGGAAACCCCTCTCTCTCCTCTCCTGCCTGGCCCTGACCCTGGGGTCCCACCCCCAGCCCCTATCTTCACCCCCCAGGACCTCCCTTGGGGGCCTCTGCAGCTCCCAGCATCCTCTGGGCCTTTCTGTCATTTCCTTGGCCCCTTTGAGCTCCTACTCGCCCCCTGCAGCCCAACCCAACAGGCCCATGGCATTGTCACGGTGATGGTCTGTGTGCTCACCACCCCAAGGCCTGCACTGCCTGCAGCCGCCCCAGAGGCCCTCGTCCTCCCTCCCACCCCAGGCCCTGTCTCACAGGCCCTTCCCAAACCTCCTCTTCCACTGCCCCCGCACCCTGCGGTGGATTTTGGGGTTGGGAACCACCGTACATCCGACCTCAAGGGACACTGAAAGCTCCAGGTCGGGTGGAAGCCTGAGGGGCATGGCCAGAGGCCACCCGGGGACCCCCGACACCAGGAGGGGCACCTCTCCGTCAACACGGAGCCAGGTGAAGGGGCCAGCCCCAGCCACGGAGCAGTGCCCAGTCGGCCACACACTCCACAGAGGAGTCAGCCGAGCCGAGACCCAGGACAGCATAGCCCCACCTGCCTCCCGGGTTGGGGTGGGCTGGAGTCCCGGCCCTGCCTGTTCCTTGTCCTTCTCAGCATTGACGTTACAAAGCCCCAGGAGGACACAGTTGTGCCAGAATATCTCTGCAGCCCAGGAAGCGGTGGGAGGGGGTGCCTGGACTCTCCTGGGAACCCCCAGAGGGAGGCGTCCCTGCCGGGTGACATTCCCAGACGCTGGGAGGAGGCTCGCTGGGCAGGAACACCCAGCTCTGGGAGGCCCCTCCCTGAGGTTCTTCCCAACAGTGTCCCCAGCCAGGAGGGCCTCCGAAGTCAAGACCCAGGAATGACAAAGGCCAGCCGGTGGTACCATGGCCCCTGCCGCCACATCCCCACGACCCTCACAAGCCACGTCTTCACCTCCTCAGAACCTGGGCAGGTCCTCAAAATCCTCGTGACTCCAGCTGCCCGCCATCAGGGCTGGCAGGAGGGACACGCCCAGGTGCACCTACCCCAGGGCCCCGGTGGTGGACAACCTGCAGAGCCCCGCCCGGTACCTTCAGATGGCTGAAGGTCAGGCCGTCGGTCCGGCCACCGTCTCGCCAGCTCTCATGGTTCACCCGGTCGAGGACGGAGAGACTGTCCAGGCGATGGCCCTGCAGGGAGCCCAGCTCCCCCAGCAGCCTGGTGAGCAGGTAGTCAGTGGAGGTCCTGGGGCCCAGACAGACGCACTGGGTCAGTCCCCGCTGCTGCCGGCCCCCGGTGTGGGGAGCTCTGAGCCCCGGAGGCTTGGGCCCGGGCTGCGCTGCGCTGCGCTGCCTGCAGGTGGGACCCGGCCCAGACCCCATGTTCTCAGGAGCCGTGGTCACCGGCTGTGCAGTGCACGCCTGGTTTCCATGGAGACTCCTTGGCCCGGGTTCAGGGGGCGTAGGAGCCTCTGGGCCGTCCCGGCCCTTTGTGTAGACAGGAAGGTGCCTCTCAGGCCTGCCAGGCCGCAGCCACCCAGCCCAGGGGTGTGAGAGCTCCACCCACGGCCCCTGTCAGAAGCCCAGGGCAGCAGCCTCCAGGGCCAGCCACACAAGGGGCTCTGAATCTCTGCTCCCCACTCCCACACCACCCAGACCCGTAGCTCAGAGCAGCTCACACCAGGGGCTTGATGTGCACGTGCTAGACGGGCTGGGGGCGGGGCCTGGCCCCACAACCTTCACGGAGCTGCTGCAGGGGACAGTCTGCAGGACATGGGGCACCAAAATGTCATTCTCCCATTTACTTGCAAAAATGACTCTGCCCAGCCCAGCCCTTCCCCTTCCTGGGCAGGCGGGAAGCCATTCCACAAGCCTCAACGCCACCCCCGCTCCACGCTCAGGGGTCAGCGGGAACACAGGGCGGGGTATGTGGTCGCTGGTTCTCCGCTGAGCCTTTCCTTGCAGGAGAAAACCACAGCAGGGGCATGACAGCTTTGTAAAGCCCTCCCCTGACAGAGTGCGGATCCAATCATCCTTCCAGCAAGTGGGGGGTCAGGGGTGAGCCACCCCAGAGGCTGCTGCAGCAGCGTGGGATCTGGATGGGGCGCAGTCCCTGGCCACAGTCCCTGCTTGGGGTCTTGAGGGGAGCTCAGCCTCTGCCCAGCGCCCTTTCCTCCCTCTCACAGACACCAGTGCGGATGCACCCTGACTCTGTGGGGACCCTCCCAGCTTCTCTGGGAACCCGCCCTGCCTGGACGGGCTGCCTGACCTTTCAGCGACTTTCCTGCCCCAAGCAAAAGCTGGGTAATGAAAGGTCCCATCTAGGGCAGGGTCTCTCATCACCCAGCATCAGGTGCCACCATCCCCCTTCCCACTCAGGAGAGGACACATTTCTATCCTCCCTGCAGCCAGAGACCCCAGCAATCTCAGGGGAACACACATGCCCATGGGGGCAGAGGCAGGCAGAGGGCCCGGCAGATCCTCCTGATGGGGGCCGGGGCAGCATCGGGGTGCTGGCCCCCTCCTGCCCGCTCCCCGAGAGCCTTGTGACCAGGAGGGCGAGCCTACCTCCAGAGCTGGGCGCTGGCTGGCACCAGGTCCACTCCTTGGCTGAGGACCCTTCTCAGGCTGGCCTCGGGGAATCCAGGTATCTGCTGGGCCCCCTCCAGCGCAGGAACCCCAAGCCCCCTTCTCACCACGGGCACCACGTGGAAGCGGATTGTCCTCCAGCCGCTGGACACCAGCAAGGACAGGTGCAGCTGCTCCTCCCTCAGGCTGTCCGCGTTCAGCGAACCTGCAAAAACCCATGTCACGCCAGGCCCTCGACCCGCCTCCCTGCCCAGGACACTCCCCAGACCCCTCCTGCTGCCGACCTGGCCCCTGCCCCTCCTCACCTCTCCCCTGCAGCCTTCTCTGCTGGCCCCCACCTGCAGGCTGCAGCGCCCCAATCCCCGATACCTGTGTCCATCCCTGGACCTCAGCAAGTGAGGGGCTGGCCAGCATGCCTGCCCAGCAGTGACAGTCCTGGGCACAACTGTCAGTGATGACGGCAGCGTCTTATGTGAGGTCTTCCTTCCCCAGGCACTGCCCTCCCCCACACCCCAGGGCCCTGCCTGCTGTGCCCAACAGGCCTTCCTGAGCCTGCCCACTTTGCCCCAGCACTGGTACCAAAGCCCCAGGCTTCAGCTAGCCTCCCACCTCCTGACAGTGGCCGGGTGTCTCTGCTGCCTTCTCTGCGGGAAAGGGGGCAGGAACAGCCCAGGCTGGGGCCAGCATGGCCCCCACCCCAGAGCTGGAGAGGGTGAAGCCAGGCTGGGCCTCTCCTCCCCCATCCCCTGTTCCTGGAAGCTTCCCTGAGAGCCTCCTGCCCTCAAACCACTGCGTGCACAGGAACCATGTCACGCCCAGGTCTAGGGGACCAGTTTACATGATGAGGGCAGCTGGGGAGGGAGGGACAGGCCCAGGCCAGGCTCAGTTCCCGTGGAGAGACGAGCCCATGGCGGCCGGCAGCAGCGACCTGGCTCGGCCACCCTGTTTCTGGGCTGCCCAGGCCAGCAGGCTCACAGCGCCCAAGCCCAGCCGCTCTTCCTGACCAGGCCTGGGTCCCCGCTTACCAGAGAGCCCTGGCCCGAGAGCCCCATGGCCTCTGTCACCTCACAGGCGGCACACTCTGGTCAAGAGTTTCCCACTCCACTCACTCAGACCCCACCCCGGGGCCCAACACGGCGCCCTCTTCCCTAACTCGGAGCTCAGAGCCCCAGAGGGGCTGTTCCAGGGCGTGATGGGGTGAGGCTGGGGGTTCTGGCGGGTCCCCGGCAGTGACGTAACACTCAGGGTGAGCACAGACACCTGCACGGCCCCGCCCAACACGGGCCCGGGGGCCAGGGGAGAGGCCGCCCCTCCCCTCCCCTCCCCAGCTGCCCAGCCAGGGTGCCCCAGTCAGAGGGAGTGGGGCCCAGGCAGCATGCTGGCATGTCCCTGGGAATCCTGGCCTGTGCCTCGGGAAAGGTCCCTCTCGTGAGTGAGCATGGGGCCTGCACTCCCACCATCCCGCCACCCTTCCAGAGAGAGCCTGGCCCCGCTGTGTGAACCCTCAGCACCCACAATCTCCTGTCGGGCAGCTCTTCGGACCCCTCTGGGACCCACCCCAGGGCAACCCTGGCCCTGCCGCCCAGGCAGCCCATCCCTCAGGGGCCTCAGTTCCCATCAGTGAGAGAGGAGGGGCCCCTCCATGCAGCCAGTCAGAGCCGCCTCTGGGGGCCACACACCTCGTCTGCCCGGCCACATCGCTCCTGCCTGTGACCAGGCAGCCTGGAAGGCAGCCACACCTGCACCAGCCCCCGGGCTGGCCTCACCGGTTCCCAGGGTGGGGGCAGCCTGACCTCGTCACCCGGCCTGCTGCCGCCTCCCTTTTAAGGTAAGTGTCAGGAAACAACGCCCGGAATGTCCCTGCCGCCCAGCCCAGTGCAGCTTCGGGGCCGTGGGCGCGGCCTGCAGTATCGGGTCTGCTTCCTCAGGGCGCACTCTGGGGTGTGAGCAGCTTAGACTGAACCCTAACGACCCAGCGCCTGGCATGGCCTCCTGCTCACCCCAACGGGTAGGCCCATCTCACAGGTGGGCATTAGGCCGCAGTGGACAGGGCCAGGTGACTTCAGGCAAGAAGACACAAATCCCCACCCCATGGCCGGCATGATTAGAGGTTCAGAAGATGCTGGGGCAGGGGGAAGGCTTGCTGGGAGCACCAGAGGCTGACACCCCGAGGTCAGGCCCATCATTCACCCCAGGAAACCAGACAGCTCTGGGGAGGCTCCTGTTCGAATCCACCCTCCGGGCCCTCTGGCGCAGACAGGAGGCCTGGCTGTGTGTGGCGGAAGCACACCCTCCCCAAGAACCCACAGAAGGTGCCCCGCCTCCAGGCCGGCCTCAGGGCAAGGCAGACCTCTGCAGGTCACAGCCTCTGGGGAAGGCGAGCTGACCACCCCACCCACTGACCTCATGGTGGACACGAGGGTCAGATAAATACCAGGGAGGTGACTCAAGGCAACAAGGCCCTGTGAGGACTGGAGTGACTCACGTGACAAGCCTGTCCCTCCCAAGGGAAGCAGGACATTCTGTTCCAGTCCCCAGTTCCCCTCCAGGACGGATGATGGCTGCACCACTCAGGGTCCCTGTCATCCTGGCCCCTGCACAGGACAAGCCCTGTCCTCCCAGCCGCCCTCGCCATCCAGGCAGCCCTGCGGAAGGAGCCCTGGGCTCAGACTCACCCTGGATTGTGTCAGCAAGGCCCCAGAGGAGGGACTGAGGCCAGCCCCTGCCCACGTGGAAGCTTCAGAGCCCACTTCGGGCTCAAGACACCAACAGGCACAAGCTGATAAGACACACACACACACACACACACACACACACACACACGCATTCACACCCCTGCATTCACATGCACGCGGGCAGGCACACACACACCCCTCCCCCCGGTATAACGTGACCAGCACTGGAAGCGGGGATGGGACGGCTTCGAGGTCACAGGCCGTGACTGGCGACAGAGCCACCTGCCCAGAGCCCTGTGAGGGACCCTCCTGCAAGTCTGCCAGCGAAGCGGCTGCCCCAGACTCCAGCCACTGAAGGAGTGGCTCCGTGGAAACCCCAGGGCAGACACACATGACTCAGGACACAGCAGCTGTCTGCTCAGAGGCATTTGGAGCTGGAGGACCTCAGTGAGGTCTCCCGACTTCCTTGCCCCAACGCACAGTGATCACACACGTGCACACACACCTGCGCATGTAGTCACCACAGAGGACGTTGCCACCCTGTGCATGGGGACGCAGCAATCACACGCATGCGCACTCGCACGCTTGCACACAGACACCCACAGCGGGCAGGTGCGGCTCCGTGAGCTCCACACAGCAGCCGCTCAGTGCACAGACACGTGCGGACTGGGTGTCGCCTGCTACCTGGTGCGATGAGGCTGTGGTGCTTGCAGTGGACGATGGCCGCCACCAGCAGGTCCCTGAGGACACACAGGACCTTGCTGGGCACAATGTGTCCACGGCACTTGGCGTCCCCCTCCGAGGAGGCAGTGAAGATATCATCGGTGGTCCACCGCTCCAGGCCAGCCCCTTCCCTGGGCACACCCAGGCGGCATAACTCGGGGCCATCCCCTGGCTGGGCAGCCTCTGGCTCCTCAATCAGCAGAGCCTCGGCATCCACCCACAGGGGCACCTCCATGTCCAGGGGGTCCTCAGAGGAGCGCAGGGCGAACTGGAAGGCCTCCAGGCCTCGGGAGTAGTCCACAGTGAAGCGGGGGTCCAGGGCGTGCACGCGCTCCAGCAGCGTGAGCAGCACGTTCTCTGCGCGCTGGAAGTCCTGGGCACGCGGCGTCCCCCGGGACCGGATGGCCTGCAGGTAGTGGTGCCACAGGGGCACCTGCACGGCCGTGGCTGCGGTGGGGGCGGCGGGGGCGGGCATCCCGTCGGCAGCGGCAGGCGAGGGCCGATGGCCCCTGAGGAGGACTCAGAAGGCCGGGAGCGCAGGTGGGCTGAGAGGAGGCGGCTGCCCAGGTGAGCCTTGGGTCTGCAGGTGGGGCCTCGGCTCTCCACAGAGCAGAATTCCAGAGCGATGGCACTGCTAGCAGGTGAAATACCGGAACTATTTAAGGCCTTTGAAGTGGGGGTGAGTCAGCCTCCAGCAATTGGGAATGTCACAGGGGCCGGGGCAGGCGGAGGCTGGGCTTGGTTAAGGCCCTCCTCCCTCCTGTCAGAAGAGCTCTCTCATCTTAGGCCTAAGGCAGGCTCCTGTCCCAGCCAGGCTTGGGGTCCCTGGAGGAATACTGCGGCTGGCCTGCGCGTCCCTGGGAGGGGAGCCTGTGTGGGTTCCCGATGGGCCTCTGCCCACGCTGTCCCCAGCCCAGGGGCAGTCTCTGGGTCAAGCCCCCCTGCCCCAGCCTCCCTGCCAGATGGGAGGGAACACAAGGCACCCCCGTGCCAATAAGAAAGGGGGGCAGGGCGGTGGCTGTGGGGTAGCCCCGGCCTCTCTAAGGCTGCCTGGAAGGTGGGGAACCCAGGGGCCAAGTCTCTACAGTGTTCCCCTGAGATGCCTGTGCCCGGCTTAAAAGACGACGCCTGACACTTGCACAGGCCACAGCTCGGGCGTGACTCCTGCCTCTGAGCCCGCTGCGCGTCCAGCCATCTGGGCCTGGGACCCCGGGGCTGCCCGTCCCCACCCCACCCTGCCTCCAACCTGAGCGGAGCTGGCACCCGCCTGCCCAGGAGCTGGAGCTCATCTAGTTGCAGACAGAAGCAGTCTCCGAGGCTCCCCTCGTCCCACCATCCCCCTCCAGCACCTGCGCCAGGCACCCTGCGGGCCCCGCCCACCTCCCTTCGCAGAGCCCTGCAAGTCCCAACCAGCAGGGAGCCGCCCCACCGCCCCTTGGCCCTGCCAGCTGGCCGTGTGCATCAGTGCTCGGCCGCAGGGGTGTCTGCAAACAGTGAACGTACACACAGCCCCACACCGGCGTCGGGGAGATGGGCCTCTCACCCCCTGGGGAGTTAGAACTATGGCCAGAACCAGGACCCCAGGAGGCGGGGGACAGGGGGCAGGAGCCACTCACTTCCTGGTGCCTGGGGGTTTCTGTGAGGGGCTGCAGCCCAGGGAGCGGGTCTCTGCTTCCACGCCTCCCAGGACAGGGAGATCACCACCTCACGGGGCAGCCCACGGTCAGGCGAGACACATCCTCCACCCCCAGCCTGGCCCACTGCTGTTCTCTGGAGCTGCTTGGAGCACGTGTGTGCCTCACCAGGACAGCTGTTCAGGTTCAAGGACCCATTTGTCCTGGGCCTTCACCCATGGCCTGCCTAGGCCCCCACGCACAGTCGCATGCCACCGTCCCCATCTCCACGGGCCTCTGGCCTGCGGGGAGGTAGGCACTGCTGCAGGGCAACTGGACCCTGCATCCTGGAGAGCCCTGTCCCGCCCCTCAGCCTCAGCCACAGCTGCCCAGGGAGCTCATCTGCCTGAGACATGTCTTCAACATCTGTGATTTGATGACCCCTTCAGTGTCCCAGCTCCACCTCCCAGAAACCTCCCAGTGATCTGAATTCGCCCAGGAGACCCCCCCAATCTACCCGAAGTGCCCAGGCTGAGCCACGAGAAGCGCTGGGCTCCTCAGCCGCCAAGCTGCCCCCTCCGGTGGCCACAGAGCAGGCCCCTCTCCCTTGGGGCAGCCTCAGGCTGTGCACCCTCCTTTGCCCCTAAAACCCCTCTCCCACTGCTGTCAAGGGCCCAAGGCCAGGGGATTCCAGGGCCCCCCTCAGCAGGAGATTCCACCTGGCTGTCCCCCTTCCGGCCGCCACCCTGTCCTGTCCTTCACTGGCTCCGGCCAGTTCCTGAGCTGAACCCAGCTGGTTGCCCCAAGGGACCCCGCTCTCTGCATCTGTGCCTGGCTGAGGTCAGATCTTCCAGGGCCAGGCCCCATCCTGGCCCCTGGGCCCCTCTGGGGGGTGGTGAATGGCATGGTGATCTCGCTGTGGCTAGAGCAGTGTCACACTCGGTGTACCCAGAACCAGACGATGCCAGGCTCACAGGAGCGAGCATGTGACCGCACCAGGAAATCCCTGGGAAGCTGGACTCGCCCTCGGGAGAGAGAGGAGATGTGCTGACGGAGGGGATGCTGGCGCCTTCCCTGGACACCTGGGCAGCTTTGACCACAAAGGGTCAAAGCTCCAGAGGCCTGCAGGCAG